TCTTTTTCTAGAGCATTAGACACCTGAAGTCTTGTTAAAATAAATTTAATAATATTATTAAAATATTAATGATTTTATATTTAATAATTTAGAATATTATTATTTAACATTCACCACTTAATTTAATATTTTAATTTCTTTTGTAATTTTGTATAAAAATGAAGTGAATGAACCTCCAACTTAACGAAAAGAATTTTTTCTCATCTCTCCATTTTTTCTTGTTAAATACCTTTTTTAGTACAATAATGGAATAAGCAATATTTTTTAAGTAAACATTTTTGTTTATTTTGTTGGTCCTAGTTATCATATTCTAATTTCACTCCTAGTTACCTACAGAAAGTATTAAATTTGGTAGTGTAATATTTTGAAGGAAAATCATTAGTTGAAAAAAATTTAAGGAACTTAATTAATATTAAAAATATAAATAATATTTTGACATGCACAAAAAAACATAATAATTTGAACACTGTCTCGAAAAAAGATCAAAATATCGATATACAAAAAATAAGAAGTTATCTATAAATTTGTAAAATGTTTTAATTGAGTTGTTAATATTTAAAAAGTAATTTATAAATTTTGAAGAAATATTTATAAATAATAATATTTAAATTATTAAATATGAGCATATTTAAAATTTTGGCAATATTTATTAAATTATTTTATTAAGAGTTCAGGTACCTAGTGTTGCTATAAAAAAGACTTTTAAGGTGCTTAGCACTCTTGAAAATGGAGCTCAGAGACAAATTAATATCAAAGGACATAATTAGAGTTTTACATATCTCTGTATGTGGGTCCCACAGACATACAACATCAGCATATAAAGAAAAGTTAACGTTTCATGACAGTTGGGTCTTTTTTACTCCTTGAAAAAATAGTTCAGGGGTAAAATTGTCCTACTTAAGAGTATAACAGTACCCAGCGACCCTAAAAAAATATGTACAGGGACAAAATTAGACATTAACCCATTTTATAAAGTGTCTTTTTAATCCTTTAATCTTAACACTATTAGTTTCATCACACAAAAAATTTATATATTAAAACTTTTAAATATTACCAAAATATTTTTAAATGTTGACATATGAAGTTTATTTTTCTAAAATTATAATGATTGGCACAGAAAAAAATAATTCAAACTAATGTTATTTAGTATTCGAGGATTAAAAAATACTTTTTAAAGTTAAATGATTAAATTAAAACCTTACAGAGTTAGAGGATTAAAAGTACTTTTTTAGCCTTTACAATTTATGTTAAGAATTATCAATTACTCCTTCTGTTTTAAAATTGTAAGGTATTTTTACCAAATCTCACCCCCGATAAAGTAGTTAGCTACTTTCAAATTAACCCATCTTTTCATATTTATCTCTATTAAATATCTTATAATAAATATAAAGTCATTCATTAATAGGGTTATTTTTTTTTTTAAAAAAGGTAATGATTACATCTCGAAAGATTAAAATACCTTATATTTTTAACATTCAACTCTTCAAAAAATACTTGACATTTTTGAATGGAGGGAGTGTTTGTTTAAATGATGAGAGAGCTTTTACTATTCATGTCAATTTTAGTTGATTATTTAAAATTTTCTTATTTATATACCTATTGAAAATATAAATAGCAATTTATTTTACCCTAAAATATTTAACCTTGTGCAAATTTAATATATATATATATATATCAAGTTGTTAATTTTATAATTCTTATCCGATTAATATTAAAAAGTTAAACATATAAACTTTTCAAAATACATTGCCCAATGTCTAATACTTCTTTTATTTAAAAAAATATAAGATATTTTTTGAGGAGTTAAATATTAGAAAATGTAAGGCATTTTAGTCTTTTGAGGTGTAATCATTATCTTTTTTTTAAGTGCCCCTATTGATAATGACTTTATATTTATTATAGGGTATTTAATAGAAATAGATATAAAAAGATAGGGTTAGTACAAACGCAGGTAACTAATTTATTAGGGATGAGATTTAGTTAAAAAGTTTTACATTTTTTAACCGAGGGAGTGTATAATAATTTTATTCTTTTACTGTTTATTAATCTTATGTATACTATAAATATAAAAAATTTATTTAATTTTGTAATTTATTCCCTTGTACATATTAAAAATTCCAACAATTATTTTTTTATTTAAATAAAAATTTCAATCAAAAATTTCATTAGGCGCATACTTGCCTTTTCTTTTACAACTAGATTTATACCCCATGCAACACGAGAATTTTTAGTTTTAAAAAATAAATATTAAAAATTTATTTTGGTATTCTTAAAATAAAATATATTGCTTTCTCCTCTAGCTTAAAGGTCACAAAAATAAAAACATATCTTTTACTTTTAATTTTATTTTTATTCATCTAACTATTAATTGATAGTTGTTGGACTAAAATACCATTTTTTGATATATTGTTTTTTAATTTTTATTCATATTTAAATTTGTTAGTTATATAAACTGATTTGTTTAATACTTTTTAAAAAATTAACTACATACTCCCTCTTTTTAAAAATTTAAGGTAGCTTTAACTGAATATTATCTCTCAATAAAATAGTTATTTATTTTTAAATCAGTATAGTCTTTTTATATATATCTTAGTTAGTAGGGTGTTTCGTTCTAAAATAATATAAAGTAATTTAATTCATTAAGGATACTTTAAAAAAATAATAATTATACCTTAAAATATTAAAAATATCTTATATTTTTAGTATGTAATTCTTCAAAAAATTTTATTACTTTTGAATAGAATGAGTAAATTTGTTAAAAATAATATTCAAACAAAAAAAAATTTAATAAAATACGAGATAGATTAGTCAATATAACTTATCTTATGTTCATTAAATTTATAATTTTCTTAAAATATTTGAAATGATTTCCATGCTCAATTGTTTAAACCATATAATTCAATCAATTACATCAATATTTTTTTGTAGGTTTTCAAACTATAATATACTTTTATATATAAATAATAGAATATTATATTTTATTCCTTATGTATTTGAAAAATATGAACAAAACCTTGATTTATAAATTCTCACACAAATTATTTTATGATTCGTTACCATATATTAATAATAAATATATAGTAAATTATTTTTATCTAAATCACATTATTAGTCCCATATAAATTTTATTGCATATTTAACATCTATAATTTTATTAAGATCTTATATCCACTTTCAATTCTTACTATAAATCCTACATGATCTTTTAAAATATAAAAATTTTATTATTTTTTACACCTTGCCTAAAATTTTAACATTTACAAATGTAGGTTCCACATTCACATTGTTTAAATTAATTACTAATTTAAATTTACTAATTAAATTATAGGTCCCATAGGCACTTTTTTATCATTAGTAATTTCTTTGTCTATCTAACACAATTATTTTTACTAAAATCTTATATTTATTGTCATTTTTTTTTCTAATCTATATGATCTTTTAAAATATAAAAATCTTATTATTTTTATATTTTATCTAAATTTTTAAAATTTACAAATTTAGGTCCTACACTCACAATTTTAATGATAAGTCTCACACCCACTTTTTTTTTATTATGGGTCCCACAGCCATAATTTTTTAACAAAATCATTTATAAATTAAATTTAAAAAAAATGAAAGAAAACAAAGAAAGTATTGTAGACCTATTTTTAACTTGGAGACAAAAGTGTCCTTGTTTATTTTAATTTTCGGACAAAAGTGTCCCCGTCGAAACTCATCACCATCGTAGAAGCTCATCACCATTGCAGCCGTGACGCGTTCCTAGCCGTGAAGCTCATCACCATCGCAGTCGATCTCATCACAAGCACTCGTCTAAGTCATCTCCATCAGTCGGACTCCGCCATCTGAACCTGAGTAGAAAACAGAGATTTTTTTTTTTCCACCGCCATGAACCTTAAGAGCTTCTTCACTCCATTGTCAAGCCCGTCGCCGCCACCAGTGTTGCAGTTCCCTCCTTACCACACATAGGCACCACACATGCTGATCGCACTTGGCAACGCTTATTCTGGTCCATCCGATGAGCAGCATCGGAGTAACTTCATGAATTCCTCAATGATGAAGGTGGCGAAGGAGAGCCCGGGTGAGAGAGAGGTACAGAACGAAACTCAGCCAAGAGCTGGAGTCATCCCTAAAGCTCAATCGGCTTCCTTCTCCCTCCATCTCGAGGCGGCTAGGCAAGGGAGAATCGACAAAGATGATGGGTTTAGGGCAATTTTTTTAATAATTTATAATTTATGTGTAATTGTAAAATAAAATAAATGAAAATATTTTTATAATTATTATCTTGTATCAAACCCAATTTTAAAACCTTAATCTTAATCTTAGTTTCAGTTTTAATTTCAACCTCAACCTCTCCATATTCAAGCATGTGTACCAAACATGAGCATAATACTTTAACATGTTTTACAATATATATTGATGTAATGATGATTTATAAACTAAACTTTTAATCTGATCACGAGTCTCACCTGCTATTTTTCTGTAAGCCTATATTTTATGTTCCAGATGCTATTTTACTCTGATTTTTTTTTTTTCAAAAAAAAGACATCGACAACCATCCGCATGTGACACTAGAATTATATAACAATTCTGCCCAAAAAGAAAAAGAAATATATGACAACCTAATGAAGCCTACATTTTTTAGACCCAAGATAAGAAAGAGAGAGAGAAGGATAGAGAGAAACGAAACCAGAGTCCAAAACGTCAGAACATTTTTTTTTTTAAAAAAAAAAAAACCAACATATTGTAAAGATTCATGTAGTCCACATCACTACATCAGTCCATGCGGGGCCACAGATATATTAAGCTGGTTTAACAATCACTTGTACTATCTGGCAAAAAAACAAAAACAATAATAATAACCACTTGTACTGTGGAAGCCTTTTTTTTTGGGGCCAGAAACTTGTACAGTGGAATTACAGTGAAAAACCAGCAATAATTACGAAGGATGGAGATATCTAATCTACAATCAACTAAAGTTAATATCTGAATCAAAATCCATGAATCCCAAGATCAAGTCCCTAAATCCCATTAAAACCAAAGAATAGTACATATGCAGAAGAATAAACTGTTAGGGTAAAGAAGATGCAATAAGAAATAATAACGAAACCAGAGGCCTACGCACGCACTGATCAAGTCATCAAGCTAAAGGACTTCAATTTATGGGTATAAGAATCCCAGTCTTTTTCAGAGTGTAATTCATTAGTGACTTGCCTCTCGTACATTTAATTTACAAGTTTTGCTATGTGCTAAATTTTACAAAAGAATCTCGGGTATCAATGAAACAGGAATGATAATATTGACTTGTTATTGTTGCAAACTGCCAATCTTGAGACGGCTGAAAATTTGAACTCGTATTGGAAGTATCACCTAACTTTGAGGTGCCAAAATATGAACCACGTCGTGGTGCAGCGGTCACACTTTCAACTATACTTCCGTAGAACTGGGCTGCTACAAATTATACTCTCTTTGAACAATCTCTTTCTTATGGGTGACCAAAGAAACTCTTACATGAACCTAATGCACCACATCATCCATACTCTGTCCAATAAAAACATGCCATGTCAAATGTTAGTAAATATAAATTGATTCTGTTATAGATGGTGATAGACAAAAAAATAAAAGCCATTAAAAAGAATGAATATTATATTTTAGTTGATTGAACTAGTACAACATAGCATGTTTTCATTTGATAGAGCATGAATGATGCGATCCACTAGTCTACACGAGAATTTCTCAAGTGACCAACAAACTTTGAGGCTTGACAACCATCAGTCTCACCTTCCCAGAGTTAATGTCCATTTGCAGTTATCACATCCGAACTGTTTTCTGTCCTACTTTGAAACAGTGTCTTCCGGTTACTAATTTCATTCCTGAACAAGTACATATTCATCAGCCAAAAGCAAGGAAGAAGTAGAACAGATATTGCAGATAGAATCAGAGCATTAGATGATCGGTAAAACCTGAGACAGTTCCAAAGCGAGTTATAATGGAGAAGAGCAACAATTGTTCGCTTCTTCTCTCTACCCCGCTGAAACCACGGGCAACTGCTGAATACCCTTGGCTTCCATCAAATCCTTGGCCATAGCCAAGCTGGAATCAGGGTAACAGGTTAAAAGTCCACGTTCTTTTCCACGATAGCTAATCCCTCGAGTACAGGCAGAAGAAACAAGACACATGCTTGCCTGCCAATTTTCAAGTTGGCATGTCATCAGTACATTGATATCAAGACAGGCAACGTTAAAAGACAAGATTCTATAGAGTAGCTTGTGATGTGATTATTCTATCCTAGTAAATATTAGATATCAAGGCATGAAGAATTCCAGTATTCATAAGGCAGCCTACTCAGCATTGCACTTCAGATATATTCGTCAAAAGACTACACACTCTAAAATTTGTTCGTAGCAATTATAGTTTTACTATATGAAGTAAGGTGAATTAGATTGATTCAGTCATAGTTGCGAAAGTTACTCTGAAACGTTCTGCAAATACATATGTAAACCTTATCCCTTGTATTTTTTTTTTTTTTTTGTTTGGTAGTGTGTTTGGGGGAGTGTTTTCATTCCCCCCAAATCATGTTGCTGTATGATTAAACAGTAGAAGCAACAGATATATTGATTCTGCATTTAATTGTACGGATAAGCAATAGCCACTCCAGACATACGAAAGATTCTATGAATTTTGTAACACAAATGCTTACATAACAAAAAGCAAATAGGTATGGAGTACTTTCTACATACCTCCAGAAGCCCTGAATCACTCTTAGAAGTATCACTAGTTTTCCTGGACAGAAACCTTTTAATGTCACCATATGTCAAAATTCCTTCTAGAAAATCTTCATCATCAACCACAGGGCACAATTCTGCTGGCCATTATCCATTAACTTGGTTGCTTCTTTCAGTGTCATCGCCGGTGAGACCTTCAGATAGTTTTTTGACATGGCCAGGGAAACCTGATCAATGAGAGTGATGATGATATATTGACGTCATGAAGGTACCAGATTAATAAATGCCAGAAAATAAGATCAAAAGTCGGTAACATGCTGCTGAGTCAAGAACAAAATCTGTGATATTAATAGTTAAGAGGAAAGAGAAAGGTATTCTCAACCTTAAGATTTTCTAGAAGAAGCTCCTCATCAATTGCTTCAAGATCAGCAACATTTCCTACAACAGAGAGTTCTAAACCATCTCCATTGGTTTGTCTCCAGTTCCCTCCATTTTCTTCAGGCGCAAGGGAAGAATATCCTCTTGCTAAGCTTCTTGAATCAGGTGCATCATTATCCTTCACCTGGTTTGTCACTGAAGGAACCCATATTGCCAACCCAACAGCACCCTGAAAGCAGGATTGACAATCACACGAAGAGAAATTCAACATAAAATCAGCGTTCAGAATTTTTTACATCAAACAGAATTGAAAATTCTGTTCAAACCCCAACATAACTCAAAAAAAAAAAAAAATCATGAAATTTTAAAGCAAGCATGCAACATAGTTGAGATTTAAGCCACAAGTCATTGTTATTTGAAAAACCAGGTGCATTCCACAAATAACTTTAAATTAAATACAAGAAAATTTAGAGAAATACTGTAAAGCAATACATTACACAGAACAAATGAGTAAAAGACATGTAATACCCATGTCCAACAATGACCCTTTTTTAAATTTAAAAATAAAAAGATGCTGCAATTTTTATTTTTTATTTTTTGGGAGGGGGGGGGGAGAGGAATACATGCCTTCAGCTTTTAGAAAAAGCAAGAGTGCCATGACGCTAAATATTATGCACTATGCACAACTGTCCGTTGGAAATTAAGAACACACCAAATGATCTCCTTTAAGAAAACAAAATAAGTTTTGCACTTGACTCATTTCATTAACCATATACAGAGGTATACAAATTTCTATTGCAATGGCAAGGAATAGTAAAAAAACAAAAAAATGATTACCATGAGAGGAAGTAATATTCTATAATCTTTTGTCAGCTCAAAAAGAAGTAGAACTGAAGTCAATGGTACTGAGCAAACTGATGCTAGTGTAGCAGCCATTCCAACCTGCAGTGGAAGCTAATTATTCCTTGCATGAACTTACAATAATAAAAATATATCTAAACAAAATCAGACTTGAAATGAGCAATGCACAAGGGTCACCATACCAGTGCATATGCCTGGGGTTGGGCAACAGCAGCATTTCCAGGAATGGCTGAATTGATAAGCTCAGCAGCAGAGCCTCCAAAAACAGCACCAACAGCAGCACCAATCATTAAACTTGGCGCATAAAGACCACCCACAAGCCCAGACCCCTTGCAAAGAGCTGTGGCAATAACCTTGGCAGCGGCTAATTGAGTCAGCAGCCATATTCCAGGAGCTGAAGCACTTTTCCCAGTATGTAAAATTTCTTCTACATTTGTAAATCCCCAGTACAGTATTCCAGGGTATTTAAGAGCTATAGCCCCAGCTCCTAGACCACCTAAAGCAGGGCAAACCACAGTAGGAAGGCCAAATTTCTCCTTAAGGACCTCAAAGAATTTGTCAACCAAACAACCAATCGAGTAAAGGCCACACTTACAACACCACATAGCATGCCCAATATCAGGTATAAAGGTAGTTCTGCATGGTTGCATCATAATAAAATGTTAGGCAATTCATTTTGGTAACAATGCCCCCACAATACTAAGAGTTGGAAGTTTTAGATACTAGATTGATTCTCCTGCTTCTTCTGCAGGTTATATCAAAGCAGATAATGGCATTCTTTAGAAGTTTTAGAAATGGAACTGGTGAGTTAGACAGTAACTAGATAGTTCGGTAAGGCAAAGAAATCCATCGATCTGATTGGTTTCCTTTTCCTTTTATTACCATTATAACTTTTCCATTATAACCAATTAGAAATCATTTTCATGCTGGTAATAAAAATTTCATTTATAGCATATGGCAAAGGTAAAGAAAAACACCTGCAGCAGATTTCAAATCATAAGCAGGCACTGTAAAAGCCGACTGGGTTCCAAGTAAAACATTTGAAACAGTCGATGAGATGACAGAAGCCAGTATAATCATGGCAGTTGTAAATGGGGGAGAATTCTCTGCACGGAGAGGTCTTAACACTGTTTCAATAGCAAAGAAACAACCAGCAACTGCCGCATTGAAGCCTGGATACAGGAAAATAAATAAATTAATAATAAATACATAAAGAGCTAACTTATCCGACATTTATAAGAGAAAGCAAACTATGGATACAATTCAATGAATTCATCCACAAACATTTATGAGAAAAAAAGGGTTTAACTGTTTCCCAGTATAGACTTTTACATAACCTGCCAACCCCATGCTACCAATCTTCAAATTTGAAAATTTCAAATTTTAGACGGTTCACCTTTTTTTCTTCACTATCTCTAGCATTAATTATATCATTAATTTCCTATTTAATTTCCAATACTTATTTGAATCTATTTTTTAATCTGGACTTGTTAATTCATTTATAATAGTGTACAGGATAAAATCAAACATAATAAGAATTGTTTTAAAGCCATACATTTATGTAACAATGAGGAAAATTGAGAAAGGTATCGTATGGCTAAGGAAGAAACTAAAAGAGCTGTGAGTGAAGCTCATTCTAAAGCTTTTGAAGAATTTTATAAGAGTTTTGACACAAAGAAATGAGAACGAAACATTTATAAGATTGCTAAGAGTAGGGAAATAAAATCAAGAGATCTAGAACAGGTAAGGTGTATAAAAGATAAAGAAGGAAGAATTTTAGTAATAAATGATGAAATTAAAAACAGATGGGGGACTTACTTTTCCAAACTTTTCAATGATGGAGGGGGTTCGTTTAGTAACTTAGAGGATTTAGTAACTTGTGAATGAGAACAAAATTTTTCATTCGATCATATAACACGTAATAAGGAGGTAAAGGAAGCTCTTAAGAAAATGGCAAATGGTAGAGCCAACGGACCTGATGGCATATCTATTGAAGCGTGAAAATGTTTAGATAAAGAAAGGGTGAGATGGTTAACTAAGTTATTTAATGTGATTTTACGGTCTAAGAAAATGCTTGACCACTGGAGGAGAAGTATATTAATTCCTATTTATAAAAATAAAGAAGATATTCAAAATTGTACTAATTATAGAGGGATTAAACTCATGAGCCACACAATGAAATTGTGGGAGAAAATAATTGAACATATGTTGAGATTGGAGACAAGTATTTCTGAGAATCAGTTTGATTTTATGTCAGGTAGATCGACTACAGAGGCGATTTATCTGCAAAGGAGATTAATGGAAAAGTATCGTTATAAAGATAAAGATTTACATATGATTTTTATTGATTTGGAAAAAACTTATGACCGCATACCAAAAGAAGTACTTTGAAAAGCCTTGAAAAAGAAGGGAGTATGGATTGCTTATATTAAAGTTATACAAGATATGTATGAGGGGTAAAAATTAGTATAAAAACGTCTAATGGTCAAACAAAAGACTTTCCTATAAAGATTGAATTACATCAGGGATTATTTTTGAGTCCTTATCTGTTTCACTTGGTTCTAAATGTTTTGACGGAACATATTCAAGGAAAAATTCTCAAATGTATGCTCTTCACGGATGTATAGTTCTTATAGTAGAGATAAAAAAAGATATTAATTGTAAATTTAAGTTATGGAGGAGGACATTGGAATCGAAAGGTTTCTATTTGAGTAGGAATAAGATGAAATATTTATATTGTAAATTTGGAAAGAGACTAGTTGACAGTAATTTAAAATAAAATTAGGAAATCAAATTATACCTCAAGTGAAAAAGTTTAGATATTCGAGAGCCATTATTCAAAATGATGGCGAAATCAATGGGGATATTTCATATAAGATTCAAGTTGGGTGGTTTAATTGGAGAAAAACTAAAGGAATTATTTGCAACCGTACGGTGCCTAATAAACTTAAAGGAAATTTTTATCATACTGCTATCAGACTGGTTATGTTATATAGTAGTGAATGTTGGGCTCTAACGGTACAGTAAGAGCATAAAATTAGAGTAGCAGAGATGAGAATGTTACGATGGATGTGCAGACAACACGTAAAGATAAAATTCGAAATAAGCGCATAGCAGAAAAGTAAGGGTAGCACCTATTGAAGAAAAAATGATAAAAAATCGTTTGAGATAATTTGGGCATGTAAAAAGATCATGAGGCACCAGTGAGAAAAATGGAACATATAACTTTGAACCCTGTTAAGAGGGGTAGAGGAATACCTAAGAGAACACTATTGAAAGTTATTGAACGCGATCTCTTAATTAATAATACTTCTAAAACTTAGTAAATGATAGAGCACAATGAGCTTGTAATTCATATAGCCGACCCCACCAACTAGGATAAAAGCTTGTTGTTGTTGTTGTTGTTGTCGTCATCAATTCATTTATTTCTTATTCGCTATCAAATTCTGATGGGGAAGGGGGGGAGAGAGGAGAGAGAAACAGCAAGAAAGGAGAGAGAACCAGACAAAGAGAGGGAGAAGAGAAGAAACTCGAGGGAAAGGATACTCAAATATCAATCCTATTCAATTTATAATTAGATGCATACAAAATAAGACTTGAGGCTTATTTATAGAGCCTTATGTTCTGTCCTACATCTAAGAGATTTGAAGAGGGTCTTGGCTATATAAGTGGGTGTACTACACTCCTCACTGGGTTAACCTTTTGAGAAAAGAGTAATGGCCCCATGATAAAGTGATATCAAAGCCAAAACCCAAGTTTGCCCAATCAATGGGCCCTTTGAAAGGCCATCCATGACAGGGGTATCACGGATTGGCCAGAAGAGCTATTACATTCTATATTGGAGGAACTTGGGCAGGATTTTGGCTATATAAATGGGTGCGCCGCACACCCCACTAGCTCAACCTTTTGAGTAGAGTCCAAACTTAAAAATTGAGAAACATTAAAAGCAATTTTTAATTTTTTTTAATTCATTAGAAAAGATTATTGAAATAAAGGAAAGATATCAAATATTTTCCAAATCTTGAATTTTCTTCAAATCTACCATTAATTGCCAAATTTTCAAATATTCTTCGTCTTTCTTTTCTCGATTCCATCAAATTCTTTCTTCTTTTTCTTTTTTATTGCTTTGCAGTATTGTTTCTTAAAATGGTAAAAGAGGCAATTTCTTCCAAAACCTGCTGTAGGTTTCTTCCCAATAAACATCCTTAAATTTGTCTTTCTCAAATGTGGTAAGAAATTTAAGTGAAACCACATTTGCTTCCCAATAAACATCCTTAAATTTGTCTTTCTCAAATGTGGTAAGAAATTTAAGTGAAACCACATTTGCCAACAATAAGTATATGTTTCACCGTCTATATGCATCCTTTTCCTATTCATCATAAACATGTGGACAACCACACCCCTTTTTGCTCAAAACAAAATAAAATAAAATACAAGGGGGATCTCTCAACAATGTATAGTTCCTGTATGAAAATTAATAAAACATATCATGTCGAATGGAAGATGGAAATCAAGTCAAAATTTCTACATTAAATATTTTGGTTAGAAAACCTAAAGATAGGACAGAATTGTACACAATCATTGATGTGCCTGATCATTATTTTCACTCAAAGGCTTATTATAGGTTACACTCACAATTCATTGAGGGCTTATCTGGTAAATAAATTTCATGGCTGACCTAAGTTATAATCACATTATTACAATTTTTTAATTTTTCTTATTTGTTGTATACTGCTTCCTCTTGCACCGGCTACTAAATGTATTGGTCTTTTCCTAGATTAGATATATGCAAATGAGTTTGCAAAATCATCTGTGGTAAGAACATATGGAAGCTTGATTTTGGATGATAAGTCTTTGGGAACACACGACATATCTTATTCACTGTGCCTTTTCACAGATGAAGTCAAAGCCCATGTCAATATAGAAGAGGCTTTTCTTTTATCTGGAAATTATAGTTTAACATCATATAAATACATAGTTATATTTATGTTTGCATATTATGGTTAATTGACTTTTTATTTCATTTCATCTTTAACCAATACACACACAACACACAAGCACATCACACAGCTCACTATCTAGTTTTGCATTGTCAAAACGAGTTCTAGATGGGGATAAGAATTTAAAAATAAAAAACCAGAAATAAATTATCACTAGCAAATTAGCGTACTATAGTCCACATTTTACATCTGGTGCACTAGAAAGGTGACAAGGATCTGAGATATGTTTTAAGACCTATAGATTGGAGATGCACCTCTCAGCTTCTTTTCCTATCCCTATTATCTTTCTTCAATGGGAAAATTGCTTCCTCATTTAAGTTTTGACACTGGTCAGGTACTCCCTCATATTCCAAAAATGTTAGCGACCAGTGGATTTAGAGTTTTACTCAATGAAAAGAAAAAAGGGGGGAGGGGAGAAGAGGAAAGAAAGAAAGAACAGGCTAAACCAGCCAGTCAGCTTGGAAAAGTATTGAGCTGGTCCTTTGACCAGTCCACGTAAACCGCAGAAACTGGAAGGCGAAAAATTAGCAAACCAGTCCAGAACTTATAAAATCGTCAACACCAATCAAAAATTGGGGAACCATATTTCCTTTCTTTCACTAGTAACTGAAATGATGTTTTGGTTCGTTCCTTAGATCACAACTATATCAATTTGTTCATTTTCTTAATATAAATATGTAAACGCATACTTGCTGAATCACCCATAAATAGTTTGAGTGAGGATTAAACGACCAGTGAATGAAATCGACAACAATAACACTGTTTGGCAAATTAGATGCGACAAGAAAACCTGGTTACCTGAAGAAATCCCAGCTGCTGCTCCTGCTGCAACGAGGGCTATCATTCTTTCTCTGTTATTTTCCATCATTAAGGAGAATCCATTAGCACATGACTTTCCGATGTCTACACTAGGGCCTTCAGGACCCAAAGAACCACCAGTACCTAAAGTAATTGCAGCCTGAATAGCCTTTATTGTAGGAAAAAACCCAGCAAGCAAATCAAAACCCTGTCTTTGAGAAGAACTGGACTGCTTGATTTGATCCAAAATTTCGAGAAAACCGTGCATCAAGCCAACAATGACTCCGCCGGTGACAGGAATCAAAAGAATTCGATGCCAAGTATCAGCCAATCTCTGCAATCGAAGCCAAGCAGCACCCTCAGTTGGAGTACCAGCCCAGGCCCATTCATGAATGAGATGCACTCCTTTGTTGAAAACGGCGACGCAGAGACCTGTAGCGAGACCAAGAAGACAGCCAATGAGAAGTAATGCCCATTCAGGAGGGGCACTGTCGCCAAGAGCATCATCAGAATCGACATGAAGATCCAATACATGATGATGATGATGATGCGAGTGAGAGTGAGACTCATCTCTTCTTTCTCTATTTTCCCTCTGATCTCGCTTGAAGCTGTGCCTGCGACCAGAGAATTCCCTATCCAATTTCTGCAGAAAACCCTTGAATGGTGATCCCCCTCCCCCTCGATCTGGAGCTTCCACGTCGCCCTTTCTGTCTTCTGCAGCGTTACCGTTGAATGTCGATTCCCCCAGCAGGCGATTCTGCTCACTGTCCTCTCCTCCCAACATTGGAGATCTTTGAAATCCCCAAACAGAGATATGTAAAATCTCTGTTTTATTGTAAATAAAATCTAAATCCGGGATCTTTCATCACGATGCGATTGAAGCGTGTCTTCATGACTCGAATAGATCCACAAGACTTCCATTTTTTTAACTTCTACAATGGAAATCAAGCCACAAGTTTCATTCACCTTCACGTCCTTCCCAATCACTTTCCTACGAACAGAGAAGTCCACAAAGCCTTCCTTCGCTTTCTCTTTCGTGCGGTTTTTTTTTTTTTTTTGAAGTATTTGTTTTTATTAATTGTGTATTGTTTTTTAATGGGATGATGGTTTATTACTACTGGAGCCGGCGCCAGGTGAAAGAAACTGAATTGACACGCATTTCTTTTTTTTTTTTTTTGTATATAATAATATATAAGAAATGTTATGTATATAGTTTTTTTGACCAAAAGGTTATGTATATATTAAAAAAAATGATAGAAAAATATCCAAAAATATGCCAATAGCAATTAGGTTTCTTAAAATATAACAATTATTTTCAACTCGTTTAGAATTTTACTAATATTAATATCATTTGCGAAATAATCATAATGTCCCTAATTTAAAATAAAAAAGAGACGGGCAGTAATTACTTTAGTTTAAGTAATAATCACTTTTCTTCTCGCAATAACTAAAATAGAAAAGCAAATGACAAGTTTATTGAACCCTAGTTTTAAATATTATAAAAATTAGAGAAATTATTACTTTACAGATTAGTGTTTTTGACAAATTTAAGGAAATAAGGTTTATACATTTAAATTCTTTGATTTTCCTTAACTTCAATTATTTTCCTTTTTAGAAATAATTATTTGAATTTGAATTATTTCTAGTTCATGAATTGATTCATCTTGAATTTAATAAGAATTAAATATTCTGCCAGATTGATTCTTGGACATATTGGTATATGTCATTCCTACTAATATGTTGATGTCCTACCCAAATGTTTAAGAACTACCCCATTGTCTAAGCTTACTTTGTGCATAATACATCTACCAATATGTTGGATTTCTATCCAAATGTCTTACATCTACCCAAATGTCCTATTTGATTCTTAACATAAAACTTGTACTAGTATATCTAAGTTCTACCCAAATGTATCTTTCCTACCCAAATATAATTAGTTCTACCTATATATGTCTTCAAGAATCAACATCTATTACATAAATCCTTTCGGTGTATCTCTCTTCTACCCATATAAAGCTCTTCACCATTCACACTTATTTATTCATACTTCTACCAATGTGTTCACACTTATATCAGTATATCTTGTAAAGATTTTTGCTCTATCTTTCGTGTCTTGAACAGAGAATCATGAAACACTTTTGAACTCTAATCTTTTTGTAACACTTGCCCCGAATGTTATTCAAAAATTACACAATTCAAATAAACTAAGTGTGGTTAAGGAATTAATCCTAAAACCAACTTAGGAAACAAACCATTTAAAGCCTTTAAAAAAATTTATAGGTTCTACCTATAGCACGCGGAAGCAAGCTAGATGAAAGTGAAATAAAAAGATGCTGTCATGACAGCATTAAATTGCTGTCATGATAGCCCTCTTGGGCCAACTTCCGGGAGGCATCGTTTCGTCATTCGACCTCCGTTCGAAGTGATTTTAAAGCTCACACGTCACATTCAAATGGTACTATAAGTATACCAAATTTCAAAAAGATCCAACGATCGGATTGAAAATTAGACATGTTAAAAAAATTGGTTATTTTTGCTGTCATGACAGCTTGACAGCACTTTTGGACCAACTTTCAGAGTGCACCATTTCATCATCTGACCTCCGATCGGAGTGATTCTAAAACCCACATGTCACTTTTAAAGAATACTATTAGTATACTAAATTTTAAAAAGATCCAACAGACAGATTGAATTTTATGCGGGTTACAACATCAACACTGTAGCTGTCATGACAGCAATTTAATGCTGTCATGACAGCACCTCCAGACCAAATTCCGGAGTGCATCGTTTCTCCGTCCGATATTCAATCGACGTGATTCCAAATCTTACACGAAGCTTATAAAAGGTTTTACTTGTGACCCAAATTTTAGAAAAATCCAACGGTCGGATTAAGATTTGGACACCCGGATGCAAAAGTGCAGCTTTTTGGTAAAAACCATTTTCAAAATTGTCCAAATCTCATCTAATGGTCACAAACCTGTGGGAACACTTTGGACACGTCAAATAAGACTAAAAACACCTGATAGAACATTCAAATGATGGAAAACCCTCATACATCAAAATTTGACCATCCGGGTGCCATTTCCCAAAATGGACCCTAAACCCCCAAAATGCACAAATCATACAAGAGTGTTCACAAATCGATCTAAATACCATGTATTTATATAAATACATATGCTAAACATTTTCACTTGGCTCAAAGCTCCTTGTGGGGCCCACGCACCCACTCTCTCTATTCAAGGTGTATGTTTGCCCATAGCACATCATTTGCAATGCAACCACTTTGCATTTGCTTATAAAATCACATATATATCAAAATAAATATTTGCTTGTAATAGAAACTTGGTCTACTAAGTAAATTCATTAAAATCACACACCATAACCAAGTTTCCTAGCCATAAGTCTGCAAACAGACAAAAATTCATACACAAGCACACAATCCACACATATTCACACACACATACATAATCATATCCTATTGACACCCTAATCCTAAATACATTATAATATATTTGCTCAAAAGAAAGGGGTTGCAGTTCTTTACAAATCACAAGCAAACCCCTAGCTTTGCTCCTTTCCCCGTCCACCACTGGATCCTTCGCCTGGACCTAGAATATTAAAAAGAAAGGGGTGAGATAACCACAGTCTCAGTAACAGCAAAATCTACATTGATTATTACAAAGTAAGCCATAATCAAATAAACGAATAATAAATTCAACATAGTATATAATTTAGCCATTTAGAATGCATGAATGCATGACCTAGGCCGGTATGGCCTTTCATGACCAACAGAATGCCCCCTGACACTCTTTAACTCACAGGTAAACCTTATACCCACTTGTACCTCCACAGGCACAAAATATAATCTAAGGCATGATCTAATCCACCGAACCGTTTATGCCCCTTCGACGTGAATCTTGAGTAGTCAAAGCTAACTCCCTCCCACAGCCAGCCTAACTTACTCTCCATGTGAGGGCTACCTTGGCCTAGGCACTCAACCTCACACTTCATATATCAGATTCCCTCCCCCATTGAGAGGTGTCGAATACTTAATACACTAACCATTTTAGTGCACTGAGCCCACAATACGTAAGACAATACTGAGTATTGACAGTATGCCATAAAATATTAAAAATCCACACCTTCTCATTGGTGAACTCCTACTAAGATCATGCCTTTTACTCTTGTCTACCTTTTCCAAGTATTGACCACTTCAACACTCTAAGGTAGTATAACATTTATAAATCTCCCTTACACGATTCCTTAGCCTATCTAAGGTACCTTACTTAGTTACACTTCCTTAAGTGCAACTTCTATTCCTTCTGATTAAAATACATATAAACAAATCTCGTTTCCATAAAAACATTGTTATTAAATAATTAGAAAATATATTTGCACTATAATCAAATTAGTACCCCATAACCCCTTATAAAGCACATTTAATCTTTTAAAACATGTAATGCATGATAGCTAGTAATATTTATTCAAAAATAGCTAAAACAAAGTAATAAAAAATATAAATTTCCCCTGTTACCTCAACCCTTTGGTACCAAAAGGGTTCCCCTTGTACAAAATAGGGCTCGGCTTGTTCCTTACTTCTCAATAAGTTCCACCAACAATTTTCTACAACATATAAGTGATCCACATCACTTATCATGATAAATAGCATTAATGAAGACCATAACTCATACCACACAACTTGGGTCAATGAGTCATAATCCACCCTAATAGTCCATGTATTAAACCAAACATTCACATAGTATCACTTAACCACCAAAACCATTTATTAGCCATCATTAGGCTAATTTCCAATTTATATAATTTTTTATCAATTAAAAACCTTCACTTAGTGTCACCAACTTTCACCATTAGCCCTTATAATGAAAACTAAACCTTAATTTAAATCTTATTGTGCTCAAATAAAAAAATTATAACTAAATCAATAAGCTTAAACCATTGAAGAGAAAAAACCCAATTTCTTAAGGTTTATTTTGTGCCCAAAACACCTCTTTTCATCCAATTATCTACTCAAAACATTATATCACTATATAGAAACTCAAAACATGCTCCCTAGGATCCAAAGAAACAAAAGTTTACAAGAATAAAGCCTTTGAGAACAAAATCCAAAAATATCTTCTTCCAAAAATTGAAGAAAATCAAGAGAAAGGGAAGAGAATTGAAGTAGGAAGTTTACCTATCATGTAGCCGAGCTTGCAACGGTCGTAAAGACTCCTAGATCCAAGCCTAACTCCCTCCCTTTCTCTTCTCTTCTTCCTCTCTCCCTTTCGTACGTTTCCTTTCCTTTCCTTTCCAATTCAGTTTCTGCATTTCTGCATCAGTTTTGGTCTTTAAATTGCTGAATAAAAATTTTGGAGAAAATTACAAGAAAGGGCCCAACATTTTTTATTATTGCATAAAAGCCCGGGTCAACTTTGGTAATTTTTCCCATAGTTAAAAATCAAATAAAACCAAACTTTTGCTTAGAAAAATTCAAACTTTGGGCCTCTATCAAATTATTCTAAATTTTAATTTAATTATAGATATTTTATTTTATTTTTATAAATTCGAGTCTTAAAATTTCAGGATTTCAACTTCAAAGTCTTAGGATTCATTTTCTTATTATCCTAGAACATTCTTAAATACAATCCTAGATGAAATTTATCTTAGCCTAGTTGTGTGAAAAGTGGTGAATGTGAATTGGGGCCAAGATTGTTTTGCATGAAAATTTGTGCATATGGATTAGTAGTGAATGTGTAGTCAATTTGGTCAAAAATGAATGTATTTTCTTGTAAAATATAGGCCCTACTTATGTGTAAACAAGTAATTTGACGACCAAATCTTGATAGGTGGTTGGGTATGTGTGGGGGTGTGGGTATGGGGGTGTGCGCGTGTGTTTATTAATATTGTTGGTTTATTAGGCGCCAATGGTCCTTTTAGACTTAATTCTAGGCCTAAAATGGTCTAATGAAATAAAGTATGAAATTTGAATACTTTGGTGCTTGAAATGTTTAAGAAAAGTAACTTTT